TTGTTTGTGTTCTAAAGCGCAGCCACTGTTTGCAGCTGTTTTACTGCGCTGCAGTTGCTGCACCTTCTGCTGCTGATCCAGCTACTAATACCCAATTTCCCCGTCAACCCTCTGGCCAGGTGCTTTGGAAAAGTTTGACGCAGTTGTCCTTCAAGGAAGCGAAATAAATCGAGGAAAGCCAAAGCAAAGCAATCGAGCTGAATTTGCTGAATCGCAACCAATTGCCAACTATTTGAACAGCTTCCTGCAGCGGCAAGCCCCACCCTCTGCCCGCACTCGCACTTTCCTGCTCCGCATCAATCAATGAGCATGTGATACTATGCCCCAAAAGTTGAGGCCAGACATGTGTAACAGCGCGTCTCATCGCTGACCCCGCTTCACTTCATCAGGTGTAGGCGCTTTTATAAACCTATAAAATATACACGAAGCGCCCTTCCTGCCTCACCCCTCCTAGATAAACCTACGAGCACGCACATAACCTTTTCTCAGAGCGATCGATGGCCAGGGGACCGGGCCAGAAACCGAAACTGGAAGCGGGGCAGCGGGGGGTGTGAGCCCGGCACTGTCAACGGCCTGTTGGCAACCTTTTTCGGCAACTTCAAGTGCGAGGGCAGTTAGAAGAGTGCTTGAAAGAAATACATAAAATAATATAAAATCTTTTTATAAAATTGTTTAAACTAAACAATTTTTTATCCTTGAAAAACTTTTATACCTAAAAATATAAAATGATTTGTATTAAATTTTATTATTATTAAAATATTTATTTTTTATTTTTTTTATAAAAGTTAAAAAATACGTATGCATATATGTGCTTAAAAGTAGGAATATTTAATAAATGAAATCAATTAATTAATTTTTTTTATTGTTTAATTAAAATTTGTTATTATTTAAGTAGACAACTTTTTAATATTTTTATATGCAAAATGATATTAAAATTATTATAACATAAAAAAAATAGAATAATATTGAAATAAGAAGGAACGTAACTTTAAATTAAGACTCAGAAAAAAAGACTCCACTATTTTTTTTTATTTTTATTTTATTTTAACTATAACTGTAACCAGTGGGTAATTCCAATTTGCTATTTACTAGCAATTTATCATAATCCGTTAACTTTTCGAGCCACCCTCGTTCGGGTACGGGCCTGCTTATGTTTGGTTTATGTTATTTCGGGCTCATTCTCGGTCTCGGACTGAGCTTGGACTTGCCCTAAAAGATTTATGTGCGTAAATTTCATGCTGACGGCATCAGGTGATTTAACACTTTAGATAACTTGGAACAGTTTATAGTAGAGTCCCCCCACCCCACGCCTACGCAATCCCCCTAACTACCACAATAACAAAACAAACAAACATGGCAAGTTCTTGGGTTTGTGAGGGGGGGGGGGGGGGACAGTAAGTGGGTTGGCTGGACAAAAGTTGTATTTTTATTATTTTATTTTATTGCGCTTACATCTTGAAATATGTTTGTTGTTGCTTGAGTAAAGCCCCTCCGAGCCCCGCTCCAAGCCCCTCTACATCCCGTGCCACGTTCGGGGGGTTTGCTTTGGAATTGATGTGTCTTTTGGGGTCATAAAAATTACAAAAATTTCTTTCGCCTTTTTGGACTGATTGTGCGTGTGTGTGTGTGTGCATCGGTCCCAGGTCCTTTAGATAGCCTGCGAAACGATATAAATTATATTGAGCGCTTTGAATTAGTTTTTTATGTGGCACTCATGTAGTGAGAAATGAAATTAGATACGTGCTGGTTGGGGAGTTCATTTGTGCAACACTGTGATTCCGATAGCCCCAGTTGCAAATCCAAATAGCAAAACTTTTAGATTTACACGGATAACTCAGGGCCAGGTGCATGTGGGTCGTACCTCATCCATTTCAATTAAAATAGATATTAATATTTTTGATAGGGCTGACTTTTGGCAATATTTTTGGCCCAAAAACTCAAAAGTGAGAGATTCAAAGACTTTTCATTTTAGATGATATATTACAATATTTAATTTTGTACGATATTATAAAAGTGTCAATGTTGCTAGACAATCATTTTGATACGCTTGTAAAGGATTTCATATCAATTTGTACTCATATATCTCGAGTAATAATTGCTATATAGGGGGTTTTTCCAGGGAAATGCCCATATGGGCAAATAAATATCTTATGCTTTAAGCCTTGTCCTGGTAGTAGGTACATTAAATGCTTAGCTGGCTGCACAATGCAGCACAATTTGCAATGCTTCGAATCCTTTGGGTCTGCTGAGCTAGTCCTGGGAACGGGCGCAACTTTGCAATCGAAGCACAACAATGGAAAGCAATTACCAAAAAAAAAAAAAACTGAGAAAAACCGGAGAGTGTTTGGGGGGAATGTATAAAAAAATTGAACACGAAAAGGGCAAAGCGCGAAAAGGAAGTGAAAGAGCGAAAATAACATCGAATTGTTAAGAAACTGCAAACTGCAAATCCATTAAACCACAACAAGCTAGGGGAACACCAACTCGAGCATAGATAAAAGCCTGAGAGCGTTGGACAAACCTAAAGAGCAAGAGAGTGAGAGTGCGAACAGCAGAGGGAGAGGGAGAGGGAGAGGGAGAGGGAGAGGGAGAGGGAGAGGGAGAGGGAGAGGGAGAGGGAGAGAGAGGTAAACACAGATATTGAGAGAGAGTTTTAAATTGTCTTCTTCTACACGGGACGTCCAGCTGCTGACACACAATTGACTAAAAATTGCTGTAGCTTTAGGGTATTTGCAAATGTGCTACCCGCTGAGGATTAGCTCTTAAGAGGTATCAGTATTGGTGAGTTACTGAGCAGAGGATTGATCAGGCAATACGCAACATGCTATAAATATTTGTTCAGCTTATATGCAAATGTGTGATATATACGAGTGTAGGGGCCTTAGTAAATATAGGATTGTGCTTTATAAGATCAAGAAATATGCAATATGCGATTTATACTCTTTTGGGGCATTTGCAAATGTGATGAAGATTGGCTCTTGAGAAGGTACGACTATAGGTTCCTCAGTAAATATAGGTTTGTACTTTATATTTTCAAGAAATACGCAACACACTATAAATATTTAAGTGCCATGCGTATTACTTAAAAGATACAAGTAGTGGTTTCTTGGTACTTTTTCAGATCAAGAATTATATATATATATATAATATGTTTTTTTATGGGTTTTACGGAGTTCTTGTTCTCTTTCATTACTGGGAAATCGAAAAAGTTGATAAAGAGTTTTGTCTGCGCTAAAAGCATTTGTCGCTTGGAAGATAGTTTTGCGATAGTAATAAATCGACCAAGCACATTTCTTCCCAAAGCTGCTCTTAAAGCTTTTCTATCAGTTGAGTATCTTACAGTTAACTTTTCATAGACTTGTTAAGCTCGGGAAAGCAGCTCGCCTGGAAGATAAGCTCTTTAAGCTCTTCAACTATAATCCTTATCCATTGTTCTGTTCTGTTGCTATTTGTCAGGAAAACTAAACTTTTGGCCCTTTGACAAATTTGAGTGTCACCTGAAAATAAGAAAATATATATGGCATCCATACTATCCAACTAAATTTCCCTACGGCAAAGGGATTGAATATTTGGTCTTGCCTATGAGGTTAACAAGGTTATATTGAGGTTATATCGCCAAAGAGTATCGCCATTCTGTCTGCCTGGCGATAAGCTTAAGAGCTCGAAAATAGTTGCCAATTCTCGAATAAGTTGTTTAAAGTCTTCAAATTTAAGCGCACAACACGCCAAACCGCAATTTCCACCTAAGCCCCGACCCCAATTTTTATGCGCCCCCAATTGGAGGTAGGACCCAACTATGAAAAATTTACCCTTTGCAGCAAGCCATTTATTTGTCTGCTGGCATCTGCCATCATATCTTAGCATGCGGTTAGAAGTTTCTCTGCCGGAGCTCGGCTGGGAGCTGCTGCTGCTCCTTAAAAATTAATTGAAACATCACTACCGGCTAATATTGTATATTAAAAACCAAGCAACAGCAGCAACAGCAGCAACAACAACAACAAATGGCTGAGCATAAAACATGCAATGGCCAGAAGACGAGCATAAACTTTATAGGTTAGGATGAGGATTGTTTCGTTCAAGTGAGGGGGGGGGGGGGGGTGTGGGAGACTTGCAAATTGCCTGTGTGCGTGGCCATTTGTCAGTCTTAGCGCCAGGGGCTAGAAATGTTTTACAATAAATTCGACGAACATTTTGGGTTTTCGAGTTTATTAGCTGTCGGCCGGTACCTGCGGTCAAAGGGCACACAAAAAACACAACATCAACAACAACGAGCCACAGACTCCACTCTACACACCCCCCTCTTCTACAACCCACCACTCATTCATTCATCTTCATTGTCAAAGCCTCGTCAAATCAGTGTCCGGTTTTTTGAATTTCAGTCCGATGCTGTGCCGCAGCATTGCCAGCTGCTAATATTTAACAGTTATTTGCCTAATGCGCATGCTCTGGCGCTCTTTAGTTTTCGTTTGGCGCTCTCTCGCACGCTCTCAGCTGCTGTTGTACGCTCTCGCACGCTTTAAATGCGCCTCATTGCATTTTTGGCACGTTTACCGTTCTTCTGTTGCGCGCCTAGGCCAATGTTTTTCTTATTGTATGTTGTTCGGCTGCGTCTTCGTCTTTAGGTTCGTGGGTGTACTAAAAGCGCACGAAGTCCATGGCGAAGGTCGTCGGCCATAAAATGCGCATAATGTTGTGCGGATGTGTCAGTGCACGTTTGTTATTTGGCGAGACAACAACAGCGGCAGTGGTAGCGGTAGCCTGAAACGTAGACGTGGACGTAGGCGCGCGCGTCATATTCGTCGGCATGCGGCTAGCGTGAATACGTGAAACGTGTCGTTGCAGTTGTAACGGTACAAAGAAATCGCACAAGATATTTCAAGGCACACAGAGTGATTATTGTATGCGTGCGTGTGCGTGTGTGCGTGTGCTTGTTTCCAAGTGTAAAGTGCTAAAGTGAAGTGCTCTTAAAACTGTAACAGCAGCCCATACTTAAATACTTGTACTGTATGCAACAACTGGATACGGATACGCGCGTCTTGCATTAAGCACAAACCAGACGACAAGTAGGTAAAACTTAACGATAAACATAACGTAACGTAACGATTGATGCTGTCACTCTAACTGCCCCCCCACCCCCTCAGCGACTCCCGCCCAAATGGCTCTTTGCTAAAAGTTCAATTTCCTGCGTTTCTTTAATTGAAGCGCAATGCACACAGCAAGCGACTTGGTCGCACTCTACAGGCCACCGACTGTGATGTGAGTGTGGGTCCGGTGAGGGGAAGGGGGTCTGTTTGTCCAGTGTGTGTAGGAAGGCGTTTGACTCTTGGTCAGTCATTAGTCATTTGCTCATTTCCGCAATAGTAGCCGGACGCACAGCACTTGTCAGCCAATAAACAAGCGTTGAACGCGGACGTGCGACTGGCCCGGGCGAGGGGGCGGGGCGGGGGTTTGGTTGTGATGCACAAAAATGAACGAAATGCTCATATCACAAGGGACACGCATACATAGAACTGTTTAGCCTGCGTGTGCTTATACAGGATCAGGGCAAATATTTGGAAAAGTTAACGGGATAACGTTTGCGTTTCCACCCAGGTTCGGCATAGGTGAAACGTTGCGTTATAACGGTTGTATGTTGCATAGAATTTTCCAAGAACATGGAAAATTATAAGAAAATGCACGCGCTCCTTGAAACTGAAAGTCCCAGACCTGTGCTAGGGCAAATTTATAGAAGGTATGCAATAAAAAATATCAAACCGACCGAGAGATATAGAAAGAGATACAGGAACAGTTGAATAATATTTGTAAAATTTACAAACATTTTCCCAGCTAATATCTCTTTGAGTTACGTGCGATGCATGCCATTTGGGTTGGTTTATATGTATATATCCAGCTGAAATCTCTATCTATGTTTGAAGTAATACCCATATGCCTGACATATGCCAGATATCAGTTGATATGCCCACTGATTGCTGGCTGACATATAAGAGTCAAGTAGGTTAGCATCGCAAGTGGAACGCATTTGTGGACTGGCAGCTGAAATATGTGTCATACATTCAAGTTAGGAATACAATAACCCACAGCCGAGCAGCAGATACAACAAGTACCTTGCAGAGGCGCAGCGTTAACATAGGTGCACATAAGAAAAAAAGAAAACAAAAACAACGTAAGTGAAACGTACCTGGCGTTAACAATAGAGGAGGAGTGCCTGTCCGTGCTGCCCACAGCCCCATCCAGCTGCAACTACTCAAGCTGGCCCAAACACATCCCGCCACCTAACCCAGTTTGATGATGTTTCTTCACGGCCTACCTGTACGCCATTGCCGTTATATTTCTTTTTATGGCCCGTCTGACTGGCCGCAAAACGACGAAGAGGAGCCCATGCCCCGCTGCCCCCCTCAGCAGGAGGAATCCACAAAAAGCAGCAGCGCTTTGATGGAACTTGTTTTGTAATTGTTTTTGTGTCGAGCTGTTGTTGGCAATTCCTTTTCTTTTCGGTTTTTTTTTTTTTTGGCTTTTCTTATAGCCTATCCCCCGTCCGTTGGAATTCCCAAAGAATGCTGTCGGAATTCTCACAGTTTCAGCCTAGCCCGGGGGCCATTGTCACGTAAATCTCTGACTGAAATTAGGCTCGTTGACAAAAATATGCCTGCTTACACATTATTTGTACAAACAAATAGACATGGCCACAGTAATGAGGGGAACTGGGGAAATCAAGGGGGTGGGGCTTGGGGTTACCAAGGGGCGCTTGCGAAATTTGCATGGGAACTGCGACAGTTGCTCCGTTTTGGGGCATGTTCTTTGCTCTTGACAGTAGTTTTCCCCCAAAAAACTTTGTTTTTTGTTTTATTGATCTGTTTATGCTTTGGCCTCTGGACAATGCGAGTGCCAACTATGAGGACATAAAATAAAATAAGACAAGCCAAGAAGGTTATCTTTGGGGTTGGCCATAGATTAAATACCCTCAGAGGCAAAAGGCGAACTACAATAAAATATTTGGGTATTTCCAGCCACAATGAAATTTTAGACCGATTTCAAAAGAAAATGTATATCTAGAGGTTTGGTCAGAGTATGTTGAAAGGGAAAAACTTTGATCATAATAAAACTCGGCTCTCGATCCTAATCTATCCCAATTTCCATCAGTTGAGGACAGTCGGACATGGCTCCAGATTTGATATTGTTCAGGAATATGGACGACAATGCTGTTACATGCTGCGTAAGAAAATGCAGGAACCCTCTAGAAGGGTATGGAAACAATTTCAACTCTTTTTATTTCGTTGGGGTCTCCAATGTCGCAAATAAAACCCAATGCGATGATTAAGGTTGAATCGCTGTCACCGTATCGGGGCCAAGAGAGTCAGACGGAAAAGGTTACTGGTCCGACAGGCGTGAAAATGATAATAAACAGAGTTTTGTGTCTATTATATTGGGTAAAACATGCGCCCGACATGCCATTGTCTTAACTCTGTGTAAAGAATTCCATTTCTGGTTTCGTCAGGTTTATTGCAGCTAATTAACATTTCATAAACAAATGAATACCAGCCGGCTGTCGGTCGGGCCCTTGAGGCAGCCAACCAACAAGCACCAAGGCTCCGTGAAAAACTGTCTGTCAAATCTGGGCATAAACACAGACTTTGATGTGTGTTGTAGGCGTTAGCCAAAGCCAAAACCGAATGATTGAATGCCTCCGACGCGCTCTGAAAATGTCAGACTGTGGGGCTTCTAGGCAATTTCCTAATTGTAATCCTTGAGGATTGCAATTGCTAAGCATATTGGTAGAGTCGGCTTAAATTATGTACAAAATTATCACACAAATAATTCAAGTACATGGCAGTAATCATTTATTGAATATTGCTTCTGATGCTAGTTGAAAAACTGTATTTGTTTTGAAGCCTAATAAAATTACAGACATTCAACTTTGATTAACTTTCATCAACCCCCAAAAAGTATGCTATATAAATTCAGAAAGAAGTCTGTTATATGAATTCAGAACTTGTCTCACCTTTTTTTTCTTTGCTTCTGTTTTGCCAGGCACAGTATTGATTGTTTCAGAAAATTAAGTTGTTAGTGCTGAACAGTTTATTTTGTGAGGTTAGTTTTTGTAATGAAATATTTTTAGCGCAGCCAACTTAACTCGCAGAGTTGCCAGATCAGTTTCGGTAAAAGCCAAAAACATAACGCATTCCAATATAGGTCAATAGATTCCTTTTTAATAAAACTCAGTTAGACCATTATGTGGATTGACATCATTTGATAGAAGCTTCATACGAACCAGGCTAAGCTCAATTTTTCTTGGCATTTGATTTTGATGAATCTGTGACTCAATTGGGTGCTCTGCCAGACGGGCATAAACAAAATTCGCTGCCAGCCCAGACTCTCAGCTGAATCGGACTTAATCCATCATTTCAAATTCGAGGGCCATGACCCAACTATCGAAGCGTACAGCACACGCCATCTAGCGGTCGTTTGAGTAAGTAGCCATGGCATGCCTATCGGCCTATCTGCTGTCCGGCACTGAGCTTTATGTCACACACTGATTGATTTTTAATTACGAGTACGAGTACAAGCACGAGTACGAGTGCAGCTCAACCCCCGCACCACGTACCCCATCCTGATTGATGTTAATCATATGAATGCAGTTCGACGTTTTCGGGGCATACCCAAAAACGAAACGATTTGTGATTGTGGCATTTATACACGTCAAATCAGTTATAATGGCCCGACAGAGGCTATTATAAGTAAGATATATGCTTGAGCATGAAGAGAGTTGTCAACTCTGACAGTCTGAAAAGCAATATGATTACATGTTTGAAGAAATGCTGCTGTTTAGGTTAAACCAATGGAAACACTATATCATTAAGCTGCCATCCTCACAAAATTAAGTTGTTTCACTCAAAACTATTTGTTTTATTGTATATGAAAACATATTCAATAATTGGCCAGATAATACCATAGCTGCCATCGTTGGGTTTTGCACTATTAACTTTAATGCTTATAAGATATTCGAATTCTTTCTTTTGGTAATAAATATTATCATTTATATCAATTACCTTTCATTGAGACTACTCGGATTAAACTATGATCCTGTCGTGCGTTAGCCAGTAGATTTTACCTTTTTAATTTATCGTAGAATTATATCTTGTTGAAATAAATTTTCGCAAACGAACTAGTTAATAGTTCCATAGGCATGTATTATAAAGCTATCATAAGAAATCTTATGCTTCTTATGTATCCAAATGACATTTAAGTAAAAATAAACATCATCAGATCTTTATATTAAATATCTTCCATCGAGACTTTCTGTTCAGTTGATAAAAACCTTTTGGTTTTTAATATTATAAACCTTCCATAGAGAGATGGAAAAACTTTTTGTACTGAGTATTAATTCTTCGAGAACGAATTAGCTAAACATCCCTTAGACAAACATTAGTAAGCGCTCTTTAGAAATGGTGTGTCTTAAATTCCTTGCATACAGAGTTTCTCTTCACTTAATAAAAGTCCATTAGTTCTTAATAATAGTTCTTCGAGAACGAGAACTAGAACGTTTACCATAGAATATATATGTTAACGATACAATATTAGTATATATATTACTAAAACACAATGTATCTTCAATTATGTGAAGGGTATTTGGTGTGCGTATAAAACTTACCGTCTGCTGCTCTAACTAAATAAATAAAAGAGGCGAGTGCTAAATTAGAATTTCATCACAGGGGCGGAATGGTATTTGGGTTGGAATGGAATGGGTGGAACGGACGGTAAACACCGCACTTAACCGTTTGCCAAACCAATTTCACAAATTTGTGGAAATCGAATATTATCCAGATAGTGCAAAAGATCCATTTACGTGACGTCGGAAAAGGCAAATAAAGAGCGTTTGCATTTTTATTGAATACGGTTAAGAGCGTTTGCGGGGTTGGGGTTACCATGGCGGACCCAAAACGAGCAGTGGGCGTGGCAGAGCCATAGCCATAGCCAGACCGGGAATCGGAATCGGAGTCGGAGTCGGAGTCAGACCGACATAAATAAACCTCAACTAAGCCGTGTGTTTTGACATAGATTTAAA